TGGAACTTCTGTGTGAACTATTCATATCTTAAACTGCACTGTACTTTTTATTCATATACTTTTTATTAATGTATTTTTTCTTTTAATGTTTCTTTTATTATCTTTTCTTTTTAATGACTGTTTTTAAATGCCTTTGTCTGAATGTCTTTCATTTTTTTAAAGCACCTTGAATTGCTATATAAATAAACTTCTAAAATCTGTCTATCCATCTATCTATTCCATAATTTTCACCCTACAAATGAAAAACACATCAGTTGCACGGTCTATAAAACAGCCGTCATTACAAGACTTTGAGACTAGACATACATTTAGTAAATATTGATAGGATAATAACAGATATATGAGATAAGGAGGGAGAATTTTGCAGGAAAGGGAACCTGGGTTGTTCAAAGGCTGTGCCTCTGTGTTGATATAATCATAAAGTAGATCTTTTTTATAGCTTTTATATGGTGTTTGCAACAGATTAATTTCACAAAAAATAATTTACTCGGATTTACATCACTCACTAGAAAAAACACAAAAGCTACATTTTTCCTAAGAATTTAATGGCTTGTCATTATCTGTGAAAGCAGATATGTAATTGCTTATGTGTAATGGGACATTACCAGTTGGGACGACTCACTAAATACCAATGTTGTGCTTCATCATTTATGAATGAGGAATCATGAATGCATTACACATGAATATAACATTGCATCCAATTAGTGAAACTGATCTGTTTTGACCTGCAACAATGTATTCATATACTCCACTTACTGCCAAATTAAATATGAATAATTATCTGAATGATTTACCCTCCTTTATAAGATTGCTTCTAAGAAAAATATGCTGTTAGTGAGAAAACTGTAGATGAACTTCTGTAAGATGGCCTGTTCCCCTCAGTGTTCCAATCAATATGTCTGTAATCATTGTATGTAATCATGTGTCATAATATGGAGCTCACATAAAAGGCAATTTACTCAATCCTGCTACATGTGAGTCTTAGGAAAGTGGAGTCGGTATCCCTGGGGGAAAAAACAATAATGTGTAATGAGAAGGAAACAAAAGGTGAGATTACGAGGGTGAGTGTGTGTGTGAGCACTACACATCTCTAATAAAATGTAAACTGTAATAAAGACGTTAATCAATAATGGCACCTAAAGCCCTGAGGAATAGAAATGAGAGATCACTAAACAGAAACAAGACAAAAACACATTTATAATCCCATCAAAGCTCCTCTTGTCAGCTACATATAAATTCATTTCTTCTGGAGCGAAACCGACAGAACACTTGAAACCTTTGAAGTCTGTTAAGAGTGAAAAATAATGTAATGATAGAAGAAAGACTGATTAGATCCTATTCCTTTTGGGACATTGTAACACTCCTTGCATCATCATATTGCAATGGCTTCCAGAAATTCTTTTATAACTATTTTACTAAGCTCTTAATGGTTTGTCCTCCTTTGTTTTACTGAGAAGGTTATGCTTTGTTTTTGGGTTGTGTTTTTACACTGACTACAGTGAGTGGCTTGTTCTCTGTTTTAATTTGTGATGTTTGCCATGTTGTTAAAGCACTAAGTGTACGAGAAATGGTACACAAATAAAACATGATTATTATTATTATTATTAGTTTTATCTATTTGTTAAAGTGCTCATTATCCTTTAGATGTGCATTGTGTAATATCATTATTTAGACCTGACATGTTCGTTAAACAAAGAGTACCTTCGATAACAACGATAGGGTAAGAATTAAAGGCATAAAGAACGTTGGTTTTCTGTTTCTTCAAACTTTGCAACACTTCTCATGTACTGAGCCAAAAGTGACATGCTGCTCCAATTATGCAAATGCTATTACATTTTAATCCTGCTTAACCTTGGCTGTTGCAAGAGTGGAGCAACTCTTAATATAGAAAAACAATGTTGCATAACGAACTAATTTAGACAACCAACAGTACTTTTACAGCAAGTATTTTAAAAGTCCATTAATTCAACATTTTATTCAAAATGGGCATTTAGGGTTTCAGCTGCTGAGAATAAAGTTTTCTCTGTTTAATGATTGCAATATGAGGTTTATTTGGACTAAGACTCTTGGTTTGACTAAAAATAAGGCTTCGAATGGTGTCAACTCAAACACTAGGAAATAGTTGTAAGCAAGAAAAAAATCATCAAGCTGAAAAATTTCAATATTCTTCTTTCAAGATTCTTGAAAGTCTCCTCTCTTTCTGGCCCAATTAATCATCGCATTGTAAGTCTGGGCAGCCGATCGATACATTTGAGGCAAGAAGCCTGGGGCTGTTATTCACAAAGATTCAGAGAATAGTTTCAGAGAGCTCTAAGACCTCATTTACACCGGAGCGCAAACGGACCGAATTCGTTAAAAAAAAAGTATTCCGTTCACATGCAT